AATGAGGACCTCGGAAGACACCCTTGGTCACTCACCTCGAGGAAATTCTTGCATGTCTCTTCCTTTTCTGGCTTGTCATCGCTTGTCAGGACCCCTGGGTGGCCCACCTTGATTGTGGCAAACCACAAAAGCCACAAATGGTGACCCCGACGTGATCTCTGCGGAAGTCGTTGCTCACCCGGAGATACGTTTCGGACCCCCCTTACTCGTTCGCCTGAGGGAGGCTGCGCATTCGTCCCGTCTGAAACACGGCTGGATAATCGTGAGTAATGGGGGGAAAGCTCTCTCAACAACAGGTCGAGCATCTGAGAGAAATGAGGGAGCTAACCGAATCTTCTATAAGAATTGCTTTTAGTGGGAGAAAGTCTTTCCCTCGTGTGAAAAGCAATGATTTAATTGGCCTTCTGTCATACATCTGGAAACATCATCCCAACTACCCAGAAAAGGGGAGTTTTAAATTGAGCACATGGACAAAATTGGGAGAATGTCTGCACTCGGCTCCTAGAGCCCCAATTCATGTTTTAACTACATGGCGTGCAGTCATGGAATGTCTGACAATCCATCACAAATTTGATAAACCAATGTCAAGTGATTCATTGCCTCCACCGTATGAATCCACTAAACAGGATTTATATCCTGTCTTGCAGAGTTCTGAAAAAGTCTCTGCTCCAAGTGCACCCAATGAGCCGGCCACAGCTGGAGGGGGTGTCATAAGAACTTTGATAGAAGCACGAAAGACAGGAGAACTTGACTGTGAAGAATTAGAGGCTTGTGCTGCATTTCCTGTCACTTTTGTTGTGCCACCGGGCGCAGCTGCTGGAGCAGCAGCAAATCCTGTCTATACTCCTTTGTCTATGAAACTAATAAGAGAAGTGAAACTTGCTGTCTCTACATATGGTCTACAAGCTCGCTATACGCAGGGACTTTTGGCTTCCTTTACTTCTGCTGTTACTGAAATGCTTTTAGCAGATTGGCAGGCTTTGTTCAATATGATTTTAACTCCTGCTCAATATGTGATCTGGTGGTCAGAATATCAGAAGCAAGCAAAGATTGCTATAGCTGCAGGATTACCCGCCAATGTAACTGAGGGTCATATTCTGGGCACTGGCGCCCTTAATACAGTGGCAGCTCAACTCGCATCTGATAGAGCAGCTTTTGGAGTTATTAGCCAGTGCGCCTTAGGTGCCATCAAAAAAGTGGATGATTCTTCTACAACCCAGACACAAACATTTTCGAAAATCATCCAGCAGGCAACTGAAAATTATGCAGATTTTGTCAGTCGTCTTCAATTGACTTTGGAAAGGCAGATAGACAATAATGCAGCTCGTGAAGAATTGTTGTTAAAATTAGCTTATGAGAATGCAAATCAGGACTGCAAGAAAATCCTGCACCCAATAGCCAATCGCCCTGATGCTACACTTGCTGACTTTCTTCAAGCTTGCCGCATAGTGGGAACAACCAGTCATAAAATGGAGGCTTTGGCAGCCGCTCTGCAAAACAACAACCTGCTTCCTGCTTCTTCTTCCTCTCTGCCTATGCCCCACCCAACAGGAAATTGCTTTGACTTTCACAAAATGGAGGCTTTGCAAAACAACAACCCACTTCCTCCTTCTTCTCCCTTTTCTTCACCCATGCCCCGCCTCACCGGAAATTGCTTCAATTGTGGTAAGCCCGGCCATTTTAAGTCACAGTGCCGTGCCGTTGGGGGCGGAGCTTACAAAGGACAGTTCAATCAGTCAGCCAAACCAAGGACAGTTTGCCCAAAATGCAAACAGGGGTTTCATTGGTCTAACCAGTGCCCCTCCTTCCCCCGCACCCCCCAAGCCCCACTGAAACATCAATGGAGCAATTCGGGAAACTAATTTTGGGGCATCCGGCCAGCCCCTCCCAAAAGGCCGAAGAATTGCATGACCAAATGGACCAAGTCCTTTCTCATTCTTTTGAAATGGTAGCAGATGAAACTGTCACCTATACTTTACCTGCTCATGCTTATCATCTCTTCATTTCACCACGACTCAAGCTTGATTTGCCTCCAACTTTACCTGCTCTAATTTTTCCCAACCTTGACCTAACATCTCAAGGAGTAATGGCTGCTCCCTTTCTGCGTTCCTCTTCCTCTTTCTCGGATCTTGCTTTAACTATCATGATTAACTCTCCAATAACAATAACTAGAGGAGATGTGGTTGCTACAATGATTGTTTTGGAAACTGTTTCTGACATGCTGGCCCTTGAACAGCCTGTCCATGGCAGCCGCCCGATAGCAGAGTTTAAACTCAATGGGCGCCTTTTTTCTGGTCTTTTAGACACTGGTGCCGACGTCTCAGTCATTCGGTCCGCAGAGTGGCCCCCCCAATGGCCCACTGACACCGCCCCATCTGTCAGAGGAGTAGGCGGGACCCAAACAGCTCGAGTAAGCTCAAATTGGATATCTGTCACATCTAACTCCAGCACTGTTACTGCTTTTGTGAAACCTGTGATCTTGCCCTTGCACATTAACCTGTGGGGACGGGATTTGATGTCCCAGTTCCAAGCTAAGCTTTCTTTGCAATGAATCCTTCTTCTTTTGTCCTGCGTTTAGAACTAAAGCACCAGACTCCAGTCTGGGTAGACCAATGGCCATTGCCTATTGAAAAATTAACAGCACTCAAAGGATTAGTTACAGAACAATTAGAAAAAGGACATATAGAGCCATCACTGAGTGCCTACAACACCCCAGTATTTGTGATAAAGAAAAAATCAGGCAATTGGCGTCTCTTACAAGATCTCAGAAAAATCAATTCCATTATTCACCCCATGGGGGCGCTGCAGTGCGGACTACCAAACCCAAATTTGATTCCTCAAAATTATGACATGATAGTAATTGATTTAAAAGACTGTTTTTTCTCAATTCCTTTACACCAAAAGGACAGACATCTTTTTGCATTTTCAATTCCTGAGCTTAACAATGCTCAGCCCACTGCCCGCTATCAATGGAAAGTCTTACCCCAAGGAATGCTCAACAGCCCTACCATGTGTCAATATTATGTGTCTCATGTTTTACAACCATATCGTTTCCAGTTTCCCTCCTTTTTGGTCTACCATTATATGGATGACATATTAGTGGCCGCACCTGGACCCACTGGTACTGTACTCAATTTACCCCATGTCCCACTTCTTCTCAACCCATTTAATCCTCCTTTGTTTTACCATTGAATTTTCATTCATGTTCTTCATGTGATCAAAACCATCTTAATGGACTTATTGCAGTATCCATTCATTTTCTACCCAATCTGTTCTTTATCATACAATTTCTTAAGCATTCTATTCTCCCTATAGTCAATATGTGTGTTTCTCCAACATGCCAACCTCTCACTTCCATATAACCAAGTGGGCAGGAGTTCACTCTTATGTGCAGACGTTTTTGTATCTTTTAGCAGTGCTACTTCTCAACAGCATTTTCACATCCTGAAATTACTCCATCTTTTTTCCACCCCTTTTTAGTAAACTTACTACTACATCTTCTGGTTCACAGACTCTAGCTGACACTACTCACATCACAAAGTGTAATTGCTGCATTCATAATAAAACCTACACTGTTTTGGGAAATGAAATGTCTGCAAGAAAAAAATTAAGTTCAGAGAGCATCACGGACCTTCAGTCAGTGTAGAACTAACCTTGTGGATAAAACTTAATGGAGGAAAGAATCTATTGGGGGAAATGACTGACCCCAGCCTAGCTGAAAACAAGGGCAAGAGGAAATCCCTGCCATCAGCACCTAAGGAAAGCACCGGTTACAGTAAAAGGTTCGCTGTTCCCTTTTACTCCAGAGAGAATAGCTTTAATTCTTTTCAACCGTGAAACAGACAAGGAGATGGGGCCGAGAGTGAGATTTTCCAAAGAAACATTCCTGAAATTGAGATGTTACTTTTTCTAAAGGAGACAGGAATAAACACTCTGGGTGTTTGAAATTATTAGGCAAGAACAAAACAAGCACACATAAAATGGTTTATACTTAACCACACATCTTTTTCATGTATTGGACGTCAGGATTTGAAATTCATTCATTGACTAGGACAAAATAAATATCTTCCCACTTTTGTAGGTTACTAAATAGCCATTTCCAAATTAAGTGGCTATAAATGATTATATTTTCATTATTTGTGAATATGTATCATAAAAGAAGATCATTTATAGTATGAAAAGTGCTGAACTATTAGGAAGTATTCTTTGAGATGTCAAAAAAGAGGATAATTTTTTTGCTGACCCCATAGCTATAGTGATAAGAAGCTTTGACAGGCGACTATATTGTGTTGACTCTTCCATCACTTGTGCCATCGTCATTTTTTGGCTTGTTTATTTCTCTCAGAATATCAAGTTTCTCCACTCAGTAGAGGATCATCTCCACATTCCCCAGAATGGCAAGACATTTTAGAACAGGAGACCCCAAGCCCCAGTCCATGGACCAGTAACAGGCCACACCATGCCAGCAATCAGTCCGCACAAACAAGGAAATCCCCATCCCCAGGATGCAGACAGCACACAAAACCACGTCCCCTCCAGTCCATGGAAAAACCTCTCCCCACATAATCAGTCCCTGGTGCCCAAAAGGTTGGGGACCTCAGATGTAGAAGATTACATGCTACCTATTATTTTCAGCATGAAAATACTTGGTATGCTAATAGGTTCAGGTTATTCTTATATAATTATTGCTGAGGATTACTGTATTGTATAATGTTTCAGTTATCTGGAAAACAGGATAGATTTTTTTCCCTTTCATATAAACTGAATTTGTTTTAATTGCCCTTTCTCCCTCTCTGAGACTTTTGTGGAGTGTTATTAGAGAAAATATTTGGATGAATGCTGAGTATTGAATTTCATATTAACTTCCTCAAACATCATTTCCATTCTAATACTGTATTTATTACTAGGTCACAGGAATTGTAAAAGTGTTCTTTGTGATCCCTGTTTCTTTACTGGATTTAAATATATCTAACATTTTCTTCACATTTTTGTGTTTGCAGTTGTAGAAACTACTGAAGGGAACACCACAACGGTAAGTTTGCTATATTTTCTGAATTACAAATATTAGTTTTTATAAACCATCAACTTTCAACCGAAAAACGGAACAGTAACTTTCAACGAATAATCAATATGCATTTAAATCTCAGTATGATTTTGAACAAAGCTTACCTAACTCTTTATATTAACCTTCTGAATATGTTTTCAGAACGTAATATTATAATCCCTGGTTACTTCAGTAAAAACCACGATTTCGTACAGGGTTGGGTATGCCTGCAGATCTGGAAAAAGACTATGAACTTCCAGGATCCTCTATAAAAACTTCTGAAAAGGAAAGAGCTGAAATGAGAAGAGCCTTTTAGATTACTTCATTGGTATTATTAAATTGGAGCAGGGGTCCATTGGAGCTGTCTGTTAAAAAAGAAGAGCTAATAATTACATTTTAAAACATAGTAAGGTGAAAATAAAAGCTGTCTTGAGTCAAACCCAACTCCAAGAGATTTCATAGACATGTCTATGTAGCTTGTTATACTGTTTCCTACATTGATAGCTTACTAGGATACAGGGAATTCTGTGGAAGACATAGAGATTTTGAAGTGCTGCAAATGTACTATTGTGGCACAGATCTTTTTTTTCTTGAAAGCAAGGATCTCTTACCACAAAGGGTACTTAGAAGATAGCAAGGCAAAATACTTTGATTATGAAGCACAGAATATTCTTTCTCTCTAAGATGCTTTTACTTTGTTGTGAATACTCACAAGACTACAAAAAATGTACTGTTGCCCTTTAATACTAAATAGTGACATTTTCATGGTCTCTTCAAGAATTATATAATTTAGAGGTGGTTCACTGAAAATTCCCTTGTGTGCTTTGGTGGGTGAATGTACTCACGAGAAAAAGAATATTCTGTGATGTTAAGAACATAATGTAGATAAACTTAAATATGCTTTGCAAATGTTGGTTTCTATTTCTCTCCTGGTTTATAAGTGTAAACTGAAAATGTTTTCCTGGATAGCTTGCTTCTCTCCTTAGTATCATAAATGTCAAGTTGAAAACAAAGGCAAACCCTTTTGTGTGAAAAGTGAATTGCCTTCCCATCCAGCACTTAGCTTTAGCATGTGGATCTTAAACCCAACTTCGGCCTTTAAACCTTTCCAAGAAAATGATTAAATATCTTTTGTAGCAAGCAAATTTCCAAGTCAGATACTTTGTGATTATGCCCATGATAATTTGACACATTTTCAAATATGTCCTCAGACTTTCTTTTAGGAAGGAACCTAGTTGACAGAAAATGCCTTTTGGCAACTAATTTTTTTGTTAAAATACTTCCTCAAAGAAAGTGTTATGAATTCCAGTAACTTTAGCCACTTTAAGGTTAGTGGGGCGGCTTTGGGAAATGTGCAACATCATAGTCATTCAAGAAGCAATTATGAGATAAGTTACATCTTTGAGCATGATTAGCTAGGACTGTGGGCTCTATTGCTTTTTGGAGAAATAGGTAGGTAGGTAGGTAGGTAGGTAGGCAGAAAGAAAGAAAGAAAGAAAGAAAGAAAGAAAGAAAGAAAGAAAGAAAGAAAGAAAGAAAGTAAGTATCCCCTTTGTAAGACAGGATCTTCCTAATAGGGAGTTTTCTAATATTTCAGAATATAGTGGGTTTTGCAAAGTGCTACTTAAAATTCAAAGTATTTTTCCCTTTTTTCAAGTTCATTCTCTGAAATGTAAGTTGCTAGCAGCTAAGTCTAATTATCCTTTTCTGCAGTTTGATATATTGATGTTATATGTGCTGAATAAAGTAATGTAGGAAATCAAGCAGCAGTTTTTGAACCTTGGACTCAAAATTTCCCTGTTCTTAATATCTTAGATTGAAGGCAAAATTATAGAAGATGTCAAAAGCCCAACCCCTCCAAATCCTTTGGGTAACTGTCCTATTTGTCGCTGGGACTTGAAACACAAGTACGATTATATGGTGAGTTTTTATTCTAATACTTGCTAAAATATAGCCATACTGACATCCTCCTGCTGAGGATAAAGTATAGTTAAATCAAGTTATTTCTAGATCATTCTCATGATTGTATGCCTGATATTGTCTAATGAAATAATCAACTGTCTTAGAGGTCAACTCTTCTTTGCACCAAATGCCAGGATTTCTGAGAAGCAAAATTACATGTGTAGACTTTGTCATTGCTAAATTACATACCAGCAAAACCTAATGCCTAGAACATTGTTTTTAGTTGAAAACAATAATTTACATTCTTAGAGGCATCACACTAAAGGAAAAGAATAGAGAAGAAAAAGAAAATTAGCAAGCAAATTATAATCGTGGTAGTTGGCAGGAATTTTTCAGAGGGAGAGAATTGTAGTAAAGCACGGGTGTCAAACTCGATCGCATCACGTGATGTATCGTGGCGGTTTTTGCCTTTGTGGAGCCAGGGTGGGCGTGGCCTGTGCATGACGCATCCAGCCCCCGGGCCACCAGTTTGACACCCCTGCAGTAAAGAATGTGATCGTAATGATGCACAATTTAAGATGCATCTAACTGTATTTTGCACACATAAGCATGTATAAGTTACCTTACTACTGAAGTTTGCTGCCTAGCAAAATGATCTCTTTCATAAATACGACAACTTCACGTGATATGACAGGAAAAGGTTTTTATTTTCTTGGATGGGAATCTAGGAAATTTCTAAAGTTTAGTTACACTAACTGATTCTCAGGGACTTATGACTGAAATCTACCCCAATCCTACCTAGAAAGACCAAGGAATAATAGCCATTTATTCTTCTTAGGAACATTGGTGATCATTTATATACACAGTAGAACTAGAATCTGTAGTTCTACAGATTGTTAGAGCTCACTTTATTTTCACATTGCCGACCAGCTATGTTGTTGAATGTAATATAACTTATGCACGTAACAAGCATTCTGTCATGATTTCATGAAATCATTGATTTTGTGACTGATTACACATTTAAGAAAACCAAGTCCTAATTAGTATCAGAGGTCTACTATTTCTGGCAATTTCTGGTAAGTAAACAATAAGGATTCCAAGATAAATAAAAGAAATCAGTCTTATAGATCTACCCTTTTATTTTCCAGTGAACAAGCCTTGAATTTAGACAATATCTTTCCAGCTGTAGTTAAAATTCTCAACAGTAAAATACCATAATGTTGAAACCCATATTAATCATGGACTGGATGAAGAAAAAGAAATTGACACATAATCCAAACTAGACAGCTGTGTCCCTGGTTGATTAAAAGGCACGCCAAGGGAAGTTACTAAATAGTTTTAGCAGTATTATTTAAGGAAGGCTGGATATAAATCTAATTTTTTTTTTCAAATATGCAGTGTCATTTTATTTAGCTTATAATCTATCCAATGATTCTGCAGCCTCAAATTGGCAATGCAACTTTTTACAGTGCATGGGGAAGCACAATTTCTGAGCTAACGAGCATCAAGCTGTCCTAACATCAAGTCTTATTCCAAAGGAGAATAGATTATGCCCATGAAATAGGAGGAAAGAGAATTTGCAGTTATACTTTTAACTCCATACAAATGTATATCAGAAACTCCTCATATTTATAATAAATTGTTTGGCTGACACATCCAATTTTGCAACCTTTGTCCCCCACCCAGCTATATTGCACTTTAAAAAAATAGCAAACTAGGTGACTGGGATACAACATCTGACTGCAAAATAAAATCTGACTTCGAAAGATCATAAATAGTCACATATTGACCAGTTTTAAAATCCTGAACTTTGGAACAATTATGGACAGAAAACATTTCTTACAAGACTCTCTTTCTCTGGGGCACTGTTCACCTAGCACTGGAGATTTGAATACTTTGAAATAAGGATTCCATAATCGTTTTGGTTAGTTTTTTTTTTTTTAATGGAACGCATACCTCCTTCTTTGGGGAAGAATGAGCCATAATAGTTATTGTTCCCTGGCCCGCTTCAATGTCTTGCCCTCAGCACTACTCGATGGGTGATTTAAGAGGCTCCTGTTTAGTGAGCGACTACGCCCCTGTGATAGGGCCGAAGTTGAAACTGTGGAGCATGTCTTATCATACTGCCCTATGTATAACACAGGCAGAATTAAATTATTGTCTCTCCTTGGAATTGATCCCTCTGGTTCTAATGTTGGTAATTTGGTTTTATATTGTCTAGGGGATGGCTCCTCCTATATTACTTCTCAGGTTTCTAAATTTCTTTTAAGAGCTGTAACGATTAGAGGAGAACGTTGTAATTCCCTTTAGCCAAGGCTTCTGGTGCTTAATTGTTTGTGATTATATTTTTCTTGTGTTTTCTTTTGTTGCTCTTGCATTTTGGTCTGTGACCGCAAAATAATAAAAAAATCATTATAATAGTTGTTGCATCATTGGAAATTGTTATTAAAGTGCTTTAATGCAAGGACAGGGAACTTGTGATTTTCTGGCTTAATCTAGCCTGCACATGCACAAGGAAAACCGCTTCCCTAAAATCCCTAATCCCTCTCTGATACTATCAGTTACTTTCCCAGTATGCCTCTACTTCAGCTGTTTTCTCATTTCCCCTTTGGGAAATGTGAGTAAAACCCTGCCCATGGGCGCTTGAAACAGAGCTTCTGAAAGCAAGACCAAGTGATTTTTCCATTTGGAACTTGGCACTGAACTCATCCTCTGTTTGGTCCTGCAATTAAAAACTTACCAATTCATCTTCTTTTTTTCCACATAACAGCAGACCAGGAGACTTCAGATTATTTGAAAAGTTTATGGAGTTGAAAGAATTTAAAAGAAGTTCATTGTGTTTTGAAGATAAAGGGAACTTTGTTTTTATTACAGTTTTTAAGTTTAATAATATCTTAGTTACTTAATTATGTTCAGCTTTTTTTTTTAATATGGCTTTGTTTGAAACAGAGTTGGTCAGAATTGCCAAAAGAGAGCTAACGATAAGCAGCAGATTTTGTGCAACCCAAAATAATAGCAGGGTGTGCTGGTTGTATAAACAAATCTCGAAGGTCATTTAGTCAAATTATTAGCACTTGTCAGGAGTCCAGGTGGCCTTGGGTATTGGTCCTGCCCACCATTCCAGCCAGATTTCTGCTTCCAGAGAATACATTGGTCATGATGGATTTTGTTTATCTAGCAGGAGAAATCAAATATTCTGTCCAGATGAAGGCAAAGCTTTATTTCCTCTTCTCTTGCTTGGAACACAATTAGTCTGACCATGAGTAAATGTCATCTCACTTTGGCAGTGGAGAATGGAGACCGAACTCCAGTCTTTGCTTCTGAGTTCCAAATTAATTCAATCCAAGTTGTTTTCATCAGATCCTACAGATTACAGGGGTGGGAATCTGAGTTCAGCCTCTCCCAGGAGCTGCCCAGTGATTAAAGCAAAGCTGCAGTTGCAGTCTTGGCTGCCCATTAGCACACAGTGTTAATTTCATGGAACATGACGGCAGTACTAATAATCTCTGCCAGAATACTCTTTTCTTTTAACCCTTTTGCACTTGTTCCTCTGTTACCCTAAAACACTGTATCTTCGCGCTGCCTTGCAGCAGAGATGAACTCTGAATGAGCAACACTACATTGTTGGAGTTGGGGCCGGTTTATGCATTAAAATAAAAATAAAAAGATCAAAAATTAACAAACTAAAATAGAATAAAGATAAGAGGGGGGAAAAAGAAAGACAAAGTAAAAAAAGTGCAGAGGAAGGAAAATAATAAAAAGTAGCTTTTGATTTTCTTTACAGCAGTTATAAGTATAAATGTGCATTTACCTCTTGCTCTATAGTTACAACATAGTTTCGGTAATCTGATTTTCAAAATCATAAATTCGTTTTTTATGTTTCACGCAAAAAGTCTGTTAAGCATTTCCAGTCAGCAGTAAATAAATATGTTTTTTTCTCTGATCAAAGGGGTCAGTTTGAGCATCTCAGCAAATTCCATCATCCTCACCATCCATTCCTCCATTGTGGGTAGTGTCCAGTCTTTCCACCTTTTTCATATAATAATCTTTTGCATATAATAATCTATGAATTTATCGTGCACAGAAGACTTGAGGCTTTTGTTAACAAGCAGCAAATGGTTTAAGGCAGCCTGCAGGCCTGAAGAGAGTGGAATCTTATTGTTTTGTTTTAAAGTGACATTTAGAATTGAGGAACACATGGGCTAATGCTCATATTGGGTCAAATTGAATCTGGAAACAAGCACTCTCATATAACGGGGCTAAGAAACAGCATCTTTCCCTTATTATCATTCTGTCTATTTAAAATGTTAAATACGTTATATTTCTTTTCAGCAGGTGACTGCTACATGCAATAAACTGGAATATAATGGATGTAGCATTTTCAGTATGTTGTAGGAGATGCTCTTAGGCAACTGAAAATTTGCTTCTTCTGCTTCATTCCAACAACTTCCATAAAATATCTGAAGCAAATGTCTTTGGAGCCCTGGATGTTGAATTCTCTATAAGGTCATTCGGTCCATCCTTGGGAAGGGTTCTGACGAACACTTATAGGGCTGTGCGCAGGAATTTGTTGAGTACCTGATGGATAAATTACTCAGATTTGTTCTCAGTTGGAATCCAAACATGGAGCAGGTCCATTGGAGATCCCAGGGAATGGACTCACCCAATTATCTGAGAACAATTTGAATCTGTTGGACCTGAGGAAGTGGACTGGGTCTTTGGAGCTGTTAGTGCAAGAATTTATTGATTAGATCTTTGTCCCTCCTGATTGGTAAAAGTGTCCATGAGAGTGACGAGGGGGGGGGGTCCAGGCAGTAATTAATACATCCCTGCAGGAGGGGGTATTCACAGGACCATTTATGGAAGCCTTGGTCTGTTGCCTCCTTAAGAAACATTCACTAGATCCCACCTACCTAGACAATTTCCATCCAGTTTCCCACCTCCCCTTTTTAGGGGAGATGGTGGGAAAAGTGGTTGTGCCAGAGCTTCAGAGGGTCCTGGCTGAAATGAAACTATCTGGACCCCTTTCAGCCAGGTTTCAGGCCTGATTATGGGATAGAAACTGCATTGGTCATACTTATAGATGGGAACGGGATGGGGTAGTGCATCCATCCTTGCTCTTCTTGACCTCTTGGCAGCTTTCGATACCAGCAACCATGGTATCCTTTTGGGCCAGTTATAGGAGCTGGGGCTGGGTGATGAAGTCTTGCACTGGTTCAGCTCCTTCCTTCAATGCCGGTCCCAATTGGTATTGATAGGGAGCAAGAGATGCTTTGTGGAATGCCATAGGGCTCAATGCTCTCTCCACTCCTTTTTAACATTACATGAAACTGCTGGGTGAGATCATTCGACACCATGGGCTGAGGGTATCATCAATATGCCAGTGACAGCCAATTTTACATCTCCATCCCCAGTGCTCCAAGAGATGCTGTAGCTGTCCTCTTAGAATCCCTGGAGGCTGTAGGGGTTTGGATGGGGGACAACAGGCTTCAGCTGAACTCTGGTAAGATGGAGTGGCTGTGAATTCATGGAGCCTCAGGATTTGTAGGTTTATCATCCTTGGTTCTGGATGGAGTTGCACCACCCCAGACAGACCTGGTACACAATCTGGGAGTTCTAGTGTAATCCAGTTCTCCTAGTGCAGGGGTAAGCAACCTGGGCTCATTTATGACTCATGGACTTCAACTCCCAGAATTCCTGAGTCAGAGGTTGCTTACCCCTGTCCTAGTGTAATCCATTCCAAAGCGCCTGAAGGCAGGACAAGAAGCAACGGATGGAAACTAATCAAGGAGAGAAGCAACCTAGAACTAAGGAGAAACTTCCTGACAGTTAGAACAATTAACCAGTGGAACAACCTGCCTCCAGAAGCGGTGAATGCTCCAACACTGGAAGTTTTTAAGAAGAGACTGTACAGCCATTTGTCCGAAATGGTATAGGGTTTCCTGCCTCAGGGGGTTGGACTAGATGACCTCCAAGGTCCTTTCCAACTTTACTACTGCTACTGCTACTATTATTATTATTACTATTACTACTACTACTACTACTACTACTACTACTACAATTCTGCAATTTCAAATATTAGTTCATCTGAGGCAGAAAAAGGAGATTTAGCATTGCTCAAGAGTTATTTTCAGCTGAGTAAATTAATTTGTTCTGTGAATAGTTTACATTGTTAATAATTCTGCTTGTAATTTTTCTAAATTCTGGCTGCTTGATTGCAAACTCCATAATCTTGACAAATAAGCCTATGCAATAAGTGCATTTCCAGACAGGTGGCCACTATGTTTGAATTTTATATTCCTTAGGTACAATGTAGAACAATCTTAGAACAGTATACAACAGTTTTCATGTTTTTGCTAATGTGTTTTTTTAACTTTAGCTTTAGATTACTCCATGACTTGTTGATTTGTCTTAGTTCTATATAACTTTGTAACAGTAATTTAGTAACCTTAAATATTCTAGTTATACTTTCACCCAAGAACATCTAGAAATGCTTCTTGTGGCTTGTTTTGTCTTATAATCATTGCCTGAGAATGTTAGTTGAATGCCCTGGAATGCATTCCAAGAGGAAAACCCCTAAATAAAATCATATTTTTATTAGTTGGGAAAAAATTAAAAGTATCTAAAAAATTAGAGCATTCTCAAGTTCTTTTTTTAATAAATTTTATTTCTATAAAGATAAAACAGAAAGAGAAACAAAACACAAAGATATGTACATCATCAAAAAAGGCAAAAAAAGTGTTAGCATAGGGATAGAATCAAGATTACGTGAAGTGTTAATACCACTTTATAATGCCGCGGTAAGGCCACACTTGGAATACTTTATCCTGTTTTGGTCGCCACGATGTAAAAAAGATGTTGAAACTCTAGAAAGTGCAGAGAAAAGCAACAAAGATGATTAGGAGACTGGAGGCTAAAACATGAAGAATGACTAGTGGAATTGGGTCTAATTTAATGAAAAGAAGGACTAGGAGTGACATGATAGCAGTGTTCCAATATCTAAGGAATTGCCATAAAGAAGAAGTCAGCCTATTCTCCAAAGCACCTGAAGGCAGGACAAGAAGCAGTGAATGGAAACTAATCAAGGAGAGAAGCAACCTAGAACTAAGAAATTTCCTGATGAAGCAGTTAATCAGTGGAACAACCTGCCTCCAGAAATTGTGAATGCTCCAAGTTTTTAAGAAGAGACTGGGCAACCATTTGTCTAAAATGGTATAGGGTTTCCTGCCTGAGCAGGGGGTTGGACTAGAAGACCTCCAAGGTCCCTTCCAACTCTCTTATTCTGTTATTCTGTCATAACAAGTGCTTAAAAAGTAAGTGAAAAAATACATCAGAAAAAAATAAAATAATAGAGTATAATATATCATTACAGTAGTAAACAATTATAAGTCTACATATAATTATCTAATGCACAGACAAATATATTCACTTCTAATGCATTTAGATAATGATTATGCTTTTTCACCTGCTGTATTTTTTATAAATGAGTCTCAGATTTTATTATATTTATCCATACAAAGTCTACGTCTGTAGGTAATCCACTCATAAATGGCACGTGTAAGCAGATCTTCAATCCATTGAATATACTGTATTTATCTTTCTAACATTGCAATATCAGTCTTTTAGCTGTAGTAAGGGCATGGAGAATCCATTTATGATATGCAGTTGTCAAATTCTATGTACTAGGCATGCAATTCAAGAGAATGTTATTAAGACAGAAATAATACAGTAAAAACTGAAGATCTTGTTCATAGCAAAACCCTCACACTTTTGACTGTTCATGGCTTCATGTATCATCCTTTGCATGTCTAAGCACCATCAGGGAATAATTTTAGCATAAGGAACAGAGCAAAATATCTGATAGGGATGCACGTATCGTTTATGCAGAAACGGTCAAATGGTTAATTTCGTAATGCTTTTCAGAAGCTTTTGCGTCCCCATCGCTTGCAAGCTTAACTGATATTGGTACTTCTGAATTAGTTTCTTTTGCTTCCTTAGGATGTCTTACTGCTAAGTCAGTTCATAAACTCTACAGGAAGGATGATACCTCGTAACATCACAGGCCTTTGTAAAGAAGAGCACAAAAAGATTACAGTGTGCGTGCAAATGGCTCACCGAGCAGGTATCTGCTTTCAGTTTCCTTGTTTCTCTTTTGTGTGAATGGGAATCAGCTGGGAAAAATGAATCTTAGTTGCTCTAAAACAGGGGTGTCAAACTGCCAGCCCGTGGGCCGGACGCGTCACGCGGAAGCCGCACCCACCCCATTGCCAACAATGGCAAAACTGTCCCGATACATTGCGCGACGTCATGTGATGTCACGAGTTTGACATGTCTGCTCTAAAACATCATTCTCAATGCTATTTACTTACCCTGCTTTTACTGCTTCATCACCTTGCAAACATCCCAGCAGTAGAGCTCCAGTTCTATTGTTTATGGTTAAACTGTGATAGAACTTTACAGTCATTGTTCTGTATGATGCGTTTAGTAATCCATAGCAAGGTACATCAGCAAATGGATCGATAATATAGACCAGTGATGGCGAACCTTTTAGAGACCGAGTGCCCAAACTGCAACCCAAAACCCACTTATGCATTGTCGGGTGCCAGGTGGGTGTGGCCCATTGGGTGGGCGTGGCTGCGGTGGTAACGGCAGACTGGGTGGGACTAAAAAGTTCAATCAATTCCAACTTTGCACGATCTTTTTTTTCCCCGCGAGAAGTTGAAATTGACTGATTGATTGAACCTTTTTTTTTTTTGTACACAGCGGCGGAGGCCTAAAGCGAAAAGATTTTATAAAGCCCAGCTGAAGGCCTAGGACTGGGGTGACGGTGCGCATGCCCACAGAGAGGGCTTTGAGTGCCACTTCTGGCACCCGTGCCATAGGTTCGCCACCACTGATATAGACCCTATTCAAGAGATCCTATTAATCCTGTTAGCTCCAGTGTTACAAAGCAAATTGAGGCAGAGCAGTTCCTGCTCTGATCTCTTTGGTCTTATCCCATTGTGCAAGATATAATGAGCCAAAAAGTTACATATAGCTGTATGACCAGATAAGGAACTATCATGGAACTAAAAGTCAGCCACGTTTTGATAATAAATCGAGACTAGAAATCTGATGGATTGTAGCATGTATTGCAAGATTCTGTGTAAAATCAGATTGCTACAATGAGATCATCCTATTAACCAGTATAATTTTAGACCCTTTAAATAATCATTTCCAGCTGATTTTTATGCTTTGAAGATAAACAAGATACAAGATTTCCATTTATTGGAGATGAATGGGTAGCTGTATTTGAGTTTGTAACATAACATATACTAGAATTGGATGCATGTTTAGGAAATTGTTTAATTTTCTTCCTTTCTCTCTCCCCTCCTACCCATCCCCATTTTTAGGTTTGCTGCCAGATCATAAACCTAAATTTCCTGAAGGTGTTATTCCCAAACCTAAGCAAATCCTCAACAGGTCAGGTGTTCTTTGACTAATAAGTGGGTGAGAGGGAGGGGAAATCTTTGGAAACCTTAGAAGTGGACCGAAAAAACCAGTATAGGTCAGGGGTAGGCAACCTTGGCTCTTTTATGACTCGTGGACTTCAACTCCCAGAATTCTGGGAGTTGAAGTCCACGAGTCATAAAAGAGCCAAGATTGCCTACCCCTAGTATAGCTAATCCTCAACTTACCACAACTGAGGCCAAAATTTCCATTACTAAACAAGACAGTTGTTGAGCAGATCATTCGGTCATTAAGCACATCTGGCTTCCCCCATTGACTTTGCTTGTCGGAAGCCAATTGGGAAGATTATAAATGGTGGTCACATGACCCCAGGACAGCGCAGGTGTCACAAATGTATGCAGTTCCAAGCATCCGAATTTTTATCACATGATCACGGGGATGCTGCAATGGTCGTAAGTGTGAAAAACAGTCATAAGTCACTTTTTTCAATGCTGTTTGTAACTTTGAACAGCCGCTACATAAATGGTGGTAAGTCAAGGACTATCTGCATAGTTTAGTATAGTTTTATTAATTGATTAGTCTTAACGACCGTATCAATAAAAGAAAACAAAGATACGTGATCTGGTTCTGGGATTAAAAAGATAAAAGAAAGTACAATGATGAAATGCAGATGTGGTAATACAAGAGTCAGCAATCCAAAAAAATGCATCGCCTTTACAGGGAACCCCAATTTGCTCGGTGTATCTGGATCTTAGTTCAACTGCATTAATTATAAACTTAGCAGTTCTGTTTTTACAGTATGTACATTGGAGCCCAGGAGGGAATAAGACAATCTGTGATTCAGATCCCAGCGGGCTGTTTTTGCCAATAGAGAGGATAAGTATCTGAGCCTAAAGGGGTGATGACAAGAAATACATCCATGATCCAATTTGTGGGATATAATATCCCTCTAATTGGAGTAGAAGTATTTCTAATATATGGGTTTCAGAACCCACTGATCCTACATGTGTACATTTACCTACATATAATGAATCTTGGTAGTTTTTGTAAAAAGTAAACCATATATCGGACTAACCAGCTGGCTCTTTTTACATCTTCATGCTTTCATTTTTTTTTCCATTCCCCCCCCCCTTAATTTTCATATCTGTTATCCATTTTTAATCATTTGGCAATTACTGATGCGAGCTACAGAATAGATAAGCTAGCTTGTTAGCTTCAGTGGGTGGCAAAAGGAACGTGAAGGAGGCACTCATTCTCTGTCTCCTTTTTATTTTAGTACCTTTATTCTTTGTCTACACTTTGTAGTTTACCTAAATTTTGTGCCTTCTCTCTTCCAGTCTTTTTTCTCCCCTCCATCCTGCTTTCACACCTAGCTCCTTAATGGGGAAACTTAAACCTCCTGTTGCCTTTTTTTTTTTTTTTTGCTTTGCTGTCTGTTCAGAGGAGCTAATCCCTTATTTATGACCTTGTTTTTTGTTCCCATGGAGATGTCAAAGCACTTTATGAAGAGACAGTATTTGCAAGCCATGGGGTTACCAAATGCCACAGGAAAAATCAGAAACTCTTTTGAGGTTGCATCCTTGTCCTTTTCCAGGAATGTGGTCATAGTTCAGTCCCTTTTTCTGTGGATTGTATCTGAGAAGTGCTTCTGTTATTTTTATTTTCTGGATGTTCTTTATATTTTTGCAAGGATATATATTTTAGCAACATGTTTTATGCGTGTAGACAATATCTGTATATGTATAGACCCTGTTTAAAAAGTAAAAAAAGAAATAGGATGCCTACTACTCCATAGGATTGTTTTTATCAAATCTTCTCTTGGACTTTCACAGGATGATTTATTAACTCTAGCAGAAGTCCACTGGTCTGAATTCAGCCTAGTAGATGAAGGCAGCAGTGATGAATTACATCCTTTTCTCCATGAAACAGAAATGGAGTTTAAGCCAGGGGTCTTCAAACTTGGCCCTTTTATGACTTGTGGACTTCAACTCCCAGAATTCCTCAGCCAGCTTTGCTGGCTGAGGAATTCTGGGAGTTGAAGTCCACAAGTCATAAAAAGGCCAAGTTTGAAGACCTCTGGTTTAAGCCAAGCGATCTAACAAACTGCTGTATAGTTCCTAAAGAGAGATTTAATTTTGGTAGCTCTCATGTGTCTGTCTTTCCTTTGCTTTCCCGGTCTAGAGCTTCCAAACCTGGTGGGTGGGAAAGAATGGAAAAGAGTGCTAGGTGGAATGAATTTGATAACAGGGACAAAACAAGGAATCGTATTTGAAAGTGACAGAGCATTAATGACGTGCAAAGTTTTTGGAACAGTAAGTAGGGACCAGTAGGGCAGAGTTGCCTTTGCTGAGGCATTTTTAGGAACGCTTTCTCCAATTCGTTGGGATTTTGTCTCTGTTGGCTGCAGAGAGAAAATGTTGCATTTTTGGACACTTGCCATATCTCAACCAGGACAAGAAGGTTGTGGATTTGGCTATGTGCCTACCCCCCACCTGTGCCTCCCACATTGATTTCTGGAACAGCCAGTAATGCAGAGAAGTGGATGCTTTTTAAACATTTCTTTTCACAGCTCTTAGGGGTCAAGTTGTAACACGCTACTCAAACGGCCACATCCTATATTCAGAGCAGCCTCAGAAGAAGCAATGGGCTTTAAGGCACAGGACTCACATTTGGAAGTTTGTTTCCAACTTTGCTATGATTTTTGTTTAAATATCCCCCTTTGTGCTCACTGTTCTCACATGCACAATATATCTAGTTGGAGGGAAAGCACCTAGGTCAGGGGTCCTCAACCTTGGCAACTTTTAAGACTTGTGGACTTCAACTCCCAGAATTCCTCAGCCAGCAAAGCTTTGCTGGCTGAGGAATTCTGGGAGTTGAAGTCCACAAGTCTTAAAAGTTGCCAAGGTTGAGGATCCCTGACCTAGGTTATTGACATGGTAAAACTGTGTGAACCAGAAAGCTAACATTTCATGGCCTCTCATTTAAAAATAATGGCAAGATGCATTTTATATAGTTTAAGAACTATATTACGTATGAGGAATACATTATTCCCAGTATATCAGACATGTCAAACACAAGGCCCGGGGGCCGGATGCGGCTCGCGAAATGGTTTCATGTGGCCCACAAAGCCATCCTGGAAACAGTGAGGGAATGGCCCCCTCTGCCTTGGCCCTGGCCCGGGCCAGCCAGGAGCCAATGTACAATTTTGTGGTGGCCATCTATGCTGAAATGCATTCAGTCTTAGCTCCATAAGCCCCCCCCCCGCATGGCCTGAGAGGAACAGTGAGGCTCCTCCAGTGGACCATGCCTTGGCACTTGCCCTGGTCCCACCCCCTTCTGCCAGAGACCCTCAGATCTGTCCCACTCCTGCCCAGGCCCCCACAGGCACCCTTGACGCAAACTATGTAGAACTGGCCACACCCACCCAGTAGGCCACACCCACTCCATCCATGCCCACCCAATAGGCCGCAACCACCCTGGCCATACCCACCCGGCCCCCTGAGGGCAACCGCAATGCTAATGTGGCCCTCAATGAAATTGAGTTTGACACCCCTGCAGTATATATTTCTTCTTCCATTTCTTCTTTTTTAAGTTGAGAAAAGCATTGCTAAACTGAAATGCTGGTAATGGATGCAGGAAATAGTGGTCTAAAAATATTACAGAATATGATTAATACAGCCTTTGTGAAAATAGATTGCAATTCTCTCTGAAAAATACCAGAATTGAAAAACTCTTTCCACTGTGGGTTCTTAATACATGTTGTTATTGTTACTATAGTACTAATTTTGATTTCCCAGCTTTTCTGCAAGATGGCTGGACAGAGCCCTTCCCTCATGTAGGAAGGATATTATGCACAGAGTTGGCAATTAAACAGGATCACCCCGACAGATTCATGGCCAAGTAAAGATTTTAATCCAATTCGCACCAGTAATAGCTGAACACAAAACCCAGTGCCATAGTGGCTATTTTCTCTCACCACAAGCTTTCAAAGTGCTGAACATTGCCCTCCCCTGAACAGGATGAAAACAAGAATTTTGTTCTGAAACTTTCCCCGAATTGAAGGACAGGTCAAGCATACAGAGTGCGTGACTTCATGGGAAATTTTGCTTTACGTGTAATAATTAAATCTTTGCCTTAACCTGAAGGCCGTTCTCTGTGCTCATTTCCCCTAGAAATTCTTCTCATTATTCCCATAAGCAAAGAGACAAGTAACCCTTTGAATATCTTGGCTCAGTGCCCTGCCTTGATGAAGGTGTAGAGTTCTGGCTCTCTCCGCTGGTAGCAGATGAGATGATGACTGCATGAAACCTTGTCTCAACACCCTTTGGCCCCAGAATCCCAAAATCACACCACTGAAGTTTGACAGCAAATTGGCTAAATTTCAAATTTTTGCATGAATTTTCTTATTTTTTTAATATTTTTGGGGGGGAGGGGTATTATTCGAAAAATATTAAATATATCAATTACCATGCAAGTGCTTGAAATTACTGGGGGGGGAATTAGGGACTGCTTTCCAAGATTTGGAGGAACTCAATGCAGGTAGTCTTCACTTACCAATCATTAATTACCAATTACTATTGGTAATTACTAAATAAAGGTAAAGGTTTCCCCTGTCCAGTCAGATCTGACTCTAGGGGGCAGTGCACATCTCTGTTTCTTGGAGCCAGCGTTGTCCGAAGAATCCTCCATGGTCATATGGCGGGCATGACTATGCAGCGAGGCGCATGGAACACTGTTACCTTCCCACCGAAGTGGTACCTATTTATCTAACCCTAACCCAGGGGTAGGCAGCCTTAGCTCTTTTATGACTTGTGGACTTCAACTCCCAGAATTCCTGAGCCAGCCATGCTGAGGGAAGGGAGAGGTTTCCAAGCTGAGCCATGCTGGCTCAGGAATTCTGGGAGTTGAAGTCCACGAGTCATAAAAGAGCTAAGGCTGCCTGCCCTAACCCATGTGCATGCTTTCGAATAGCTAGGTGGGCAGGAGCTGGGGCAAGTAACGGGAGCTCACCTCATTGTGTGGCCCTCGGATCTCAAACACGGGCTGTCAGCTTTACAGCTGACAAGCTCAGTGTCTTTAACCACTAAGTCAGGGGTAGGCAACCTTGGCTCTTTTATGACTCGTGGACTTCAACTCCCAGAATTCCTGAGCCAGCATGGCTCTAAGCCTGCACTAAGCCATCTCGCCCCACCAAATAATTACTAATTACCAATAGTAAATAACAATAGTAATTGGGAATAGGAACTGTCACTAAGCAACACAGTTGTGAGGTACATCACACGACTGCACTGACTTGTAACAGCAGTTTAAGCAATCCCAGTTGCCACTGTTCAGTGAATCCCGTGCATTTGCAGTGTCCCCACAGCATCGCAGGGTCATGTCATTGCTATCTGCAACCTCCCACCAGCTCAGCAGGCCAAATGCCCATATTGCAATCACGTGACTACAGAGATGCTGCATAGCCGCAACTACAGGCGCCCCTCATAACTGCTCCTCATTCAGCACTATTGTAATTGTTGATCAGTCACTGAACGAGTGGATGTTAAATGGGGGCTACTTGTCTTGGAATGGTAGGTACATCTGTTATGGTCCTTAATTGCTCCACAAAATATTGTGAAATTCCCCCCACCCAAAAAAATAGGTTCAGGGTGGCAGCAGGATTGGTTTGCTTCCCAGGAACCTCCTGCTCCCATTTTCATTCATTAATTTTTCACCAACCCTTGGAAGACTGTAAGGAGCCCCTTCCTGGTGTAAAAGATTTCTGTTACCTGGTCCTGCTGATCAGCATCAGACCCTGATTGGGTGTTCCATGTTGGAGGTGGTTGGTGTGTGAGGAAGAAAATCCCACCTCCACCCATAGGATTCTGGGTTGTTTTTTTAACTTACCGTACTTTGATTCATTTTAATATTTAATGTTTTATACATTTGCTTTTTATGATGTTTGCAAGCCACTCAGTTGCTTGACAGTGAGATGGCTGGCATATAAATTTAATAAATAAAATACTGTCCTTCATCAAATCATAACGTAAATGCTCATTGAAAGCCTAATCCAGTCCAAGAAAACACTGGACTCCAACTGAACATTATAGGACAGACATGTCAAACACAAGGCCCGGGGGCCGGATGTGGCCCGCGAAGTGGTTTCATGTGGCCCGCGAAGCCATCCTGGAAACAGTGAGGGAACAGCCCCTGCTGCCTTGGCACTGGCCCAGGCCGGCCGGGAGCCAATGTACAATTTCGTGGTGGCCATCTATGCTGAAACACATTCAGTCTTAGCTCCACAAGGCCGTCTAGAAACAGCGAGGAACCAGCCCCTGCTGTGTTCAGCCCCGCCCCCTGGGTACATACTGGGGAGGTGTCATCCTTTGTGAGGAATGAAGAAATGGACCATGCCTTGGCGCTTGCCCCGGTCCCACCCCCTTCTGCCAGAGATCCTCAGATCTGTCCCACTCCTGCCCAGGCCCCCACAGGCACCCTTGACACGAACAATGTAGAGCTGGCCATGCCCACTCAGTAGGCCGCACCCACCCTGGCTGCACCCACCCGCCCCCCCCAAGGGCAACCGCAATGCTGATGCAGCCCTCAATGAAATTGAGTTTGACACCCCTGTTACAGGATATACAAAGAGAAAAGGGTTGTGCATCAAAGCAGCACCGCATTCATCCCAAGTTCAGAATTTTCTTGCCTGTCCCTTTTTCCAGCCACCTTGTCTCTGCCAGGGCCCCATATTTACTGTGCAGTTTTTCTGGACCATCCTTGCACTATTCTAAGATTAGTTCTTCTTTAAAAGTAATTTAAGAACTTTATCTGTTGTCATCCCAGTTGTGTAATTTTTAGATTTTAGTATATGTCGTATTATCGCCAACATCTGTTTCCCAAAGCTGCAGTAAAATTATGTCTAGACTATTTGGAGAAGATCAGCACCTGGTAAATTACGTCATATAAAATAATATTGTAACGTGTGTGTGTATATGCTGTAATAGGGAAGTTAATCTGATGTGCATTACAAATTCACAGTCTTATATGAAAATGTAATACAGAAAGCTTATGTAGAGGATGTTTCACCTCAAAATAATGAAAAGATTTAATATGTCTTATTTTTACTACAAAGGCCATGATGTGGCTATTGAATATTACATTGGAATCTAAACAACCGTAAGTGAAATGTTCCTCATATAAATTTTTAAGACATTAATGTCTGGTATAGAACAATAAGACTGTAAGGAAGAGATCTGGACTTGATTTATATGCTTTAATACTTCACTTTTTATCTATTGCATTTTACTTTACTAAACCTAAGGTAGCATCCAGCATGTTCGTCTCTGTTCTTATCTGATCTTCAGATTTCAGTCCAGACTTGACTGCTGTTCTGAAATTTTGCCCATTTTCATAAGCAAGCTTGGTTCAGCTCACTTTCTGCAAGATAGTAGGTCAGGTTCTGCAGAGGAAGGGGGAGTTCAGTTCTAACCTTAGTAAAGCAGACGGAGACAAAGCAATGTTTATAACTACATTCTACACAATACAATTTAGACAGCCCTACTGGAATTGGCATATCTTCCATATTTCACAGCGCCATATTAAATATCTAGAAAATTAGCTTGGCAAGTTATGATGCATTGCAGTGAAGTCTTTTTTCTGCTCTTCCTGTAAAGTTAGTTTCTCCATGAAGTTTAAATTATAAAGAAATGTTAACCTTTGATTTGTCCTGTGTAATGAAATATTTTGGTGAGGGGATATCTTTGGGTTAGTTTCTGGTGACTGCACGAGTCCCCGCAGTTTTCTTGGCAAGATTTCAGAAGTGGTTTGCCATTGTTTTCTTCCTAGGGCTGAGAGGATTGACTGGCCCAAGGTCACCCATTGACTTTGGGCCTAAGACAGGACTACAATTTACAGTCTTCTGGTTCCTAGCCTGATGCCTTAACTGCTATTCCAGGCTGGCTCTCTAATGAAATGCACTGAGCCATTAACTATTATTAACTCCAACTGTTTTTTCCAAATGATTCTCAACAGTCTTCTCTTTTTTATATCTAGAATGAAACATGAGTTCATTCGTGTTAATGTATTATGCTAATAAAAAATCAACCTTTACTAAAATATTTTCAACATGAGAAATATTATTTCTTCAATTCCTTGATGTCTGTTTTTTAATTTCTGAACTCATAGCTATTG